CGTTTCCAAAGGGTGAGTCGCTTCTTGGCACACTTGATTTCAATGCTGGTTGCTTCTTTTGCCGCAGCCCAGCTCATGTCTCGCAGCCAGTCTACGCATAAGCACCATTCCGCCGTTGCGCGAATGATCCAGGCATTCCAAGTAACATCTGTGTTTTTGATGTTCCGGAGCTTTCTGATGGTGCGGAGGCGATCCTGGATGAACTTGGTGGTGGCTGCCATCCCACGGTGCAATGCATTAGCTAGGTCAACGCACGTGTTGCCCGCCTTGCGCCACCAGCGTGACAGCTGACTGCCTTCAGCCACTGCCTTATAGGTACTGCGGATTGCTGCCACTAACTTTAACTTTGGTTTATCAAGATCTCCACGCCCTTGATGCGGCCTAACCTGATCAGGAGGAAGTTGATACCTATCAAGGAGCTCTTTTTCGGCCTGCATGGCCCATAAGGCGTAGGCCCAAGTCAGGTCTCCCTGATCACGAACAAGCTCGGTTTCTTTTACAACTTCCGTATAGTCAGGTGGCGGCCGCGGAGCTCCCATCGGGAGCTCCGTCGGCAGTGGCTTAGGTAGGCACATTTGTTGTATCAAGTTGGATCCTGCTCTTTTCTTTAAAGTGATCCCAACACCCCAATGCGTAGCAATAGGCAGGCCCTCAATCCTGTAGACTGACTTGACCATGCCACGCAAAGTATCAGAGACGAGGAAATAGTCGATGGTCCTCCCTTTTCCTGCACTACATGTCCAGACATTCGGCGCCACAATAGTTGCAGGGAAAGTCCTGAGCTCCCCAAGGTCTACGAGCTCCTGAGGCGTCATGTTCCAATCGGCCCCTAGGATAAACGGTCGCCCCACGGCCCTGATCCAACCCAAGACGTCTCTGAGGAGGTGTTTGTTGTACAAATCGACACCAGTACCTGAGTAAAAGTAGCAGGAGATGAAAAAGAAGCCTCCTGGTACCATTCCTTCGCAGAGCTGAGCATGGAACCTCTCCGACTGCGGGTACTGAAACCATCGTCCCAATGAGGGCGGTGCTGCCATGGCTATGTCAGCCGTCATGGCGACCCCAACCCCTGCAGACGCAGCGTGGATCGTCTTGCATTCTTTCGCGGAGGTGAGTGCTGCGTGCCATCCTTCGTGTTTTAACCTGGCAATGACATCTCCAATCTTTTGCTTGAGAAGTTTATGCTCCTGGATGGCCATACCGTCGAATCCCAGCCGTGCAAGCATCGCTCCAACTGCTGAGATGTTCTGTCCCTCCGCTTGGGCCGATGTAAGATTGACCGTCGCAAGCTTCCAAGTGGCTTCGCCTCGCGCGTGCACGGTCCTAGTTGGGGCCGTGATCTGAGAGTGCAGTTTGAGGGTATACGGCATCTCAATCTGACTCGCTAGAGGTATTAAGGGTTGGTCCACACTACTTGCTCCATCGGAGACTGCAGCAGTTACCGCCACTGTCGGAAGCAAAGCTTTACATCCAGAAGTGAGGTCAATCGTTTCTGGACTGCTTTCGTCAGCGGTCAAGTCAACAAATCGTTCATGCACCAAAACTTCATCACTTGCGAGGTCAATGCTCTCCAAGACTGCAGAAGCTTGTTGCAGAGGCACGGCAGGCTCCAAAGCCCCTATCAGGGAGACGGTGGGCTGCGCCCTGATCGCGGGGACTGGGAAACCCGTATCAGGCCAATCAAGGTCCACTATATTATGGGCCCAAAACTTCGACGTCGCACTCGAAATCGTTGCAACCTTCGAAGTAGTCGTTCCCTGGATTGGCTCCAGGGCAGTCCGCCGCAAAGGGCATGATGTCCCAGACGGCGTTCCCCCCTCCATGCATTGCTCCACCTCCCTACCTGAGCGCGCGCGAAGCTTCAGGCCGGGCAGGATCGTAACGCAGAGGTCCTGAGGCATTCGAGGAACCAGTGCCCGTTCCCCCCTCCACGCGATGCCCCACCTCCCGCCCCGAGCGCGAAGCTTCGAGGTGGGCAGGATCGCATCGTGGAGGTCCTGGGGCGCCTCGCGACGAATCGCTGCTAAATATTCTTCGTCTCGCGCTCCTGGATCGCAGCCGCCAGGCGCTCTTCGAATGTGGGCGCACCTTCATCCGCATGCTTGGTTCCCTCGGCGGCAGCGGGTGCGGCAGCAGCTGCAGCAGAGGCCGCTGGAGCAGAGCCAGCACCATCGTTGCCGACCGCTGCGGTGCCTGGCACAGGGTCTCCTCCTCCAATCTTCCTCTTCTTACCTTCGAGCCGTTGGAGTTGCTCTTTTTGGGCCGCCTGGGCAGCCTTGACTTTGTCGAGGGAGGCCTTGAAGTAGTCGGCCAACCCCTTCTGGATTTGCTGCGCCACTTCGTCCTTCCTCTTCGTGAGCTCCTCCACCTCCTGAGACTCGAGGTCATACAGCTCCTGTGCCTCCTGGGTCCCCAAGAAGTCATCCATGGTGAGGATGTTCTCCAGATCCAGCCGTCCCTCGCAGATCTCGCGGATGCTGATCTTGGGGGCCGTTTTGGGGGTCTCGGCGGCGTACTGGGACTGTAGATCCAGCACCGCCTGCTTGTGTTCCTGCCTGGCGTGCTCGAGCTGGTCCTTGAGGTTGGCCACCCGCTCAAGGACAGCGTCTCGGGACTTCGCCCAGCGGTCGAGCTTGTCGAGGTCCTGCTGGATCTGTTTCTGGATTTCCAGCTGGATGCCCTCGAACTTCTCCAGGCGCTGCTTCGTGGTGGGTGGGCGAGGCTGGGCAGCCTTGGCCAAGGCCACCAGGCCCAAATAGCGCTGTTCACCCACCGGGTCTCCAGCGTCTCGGGCCATATCCGCCAGCTTCTGAGCTTTGTCAGCATCCATGAAGGTGACGAGGCCTTGAGGCAGCGGAGCCTGAGCGGTGCGCCCATCGGGTACACCTCGCCTGTCGTCTCCTCCTTTCCCACCCGCTCCCTCACCTTTGTCTTTGGCTTTTCCTCCGCCCTTGGTTCCTTTGACTGGCCCTGGGAGCAGAGGAGGCCATTCGAGAGCGAGGGGTGGAGCAGACAGAATCCCTCCATCAGAGGTCTCCTGTGGATGCTTTTTGCCCTTGCCCGTAAGTGATGTCCCGCACTGACGACAGAAGATATATCCTTTGAGATTTTTCTTGCAGCCACAGTTGGGGTTAGGGCAAGTGACACCGCGCTTCGTCCCATCGGAGATGTACCAGTCCCAGTCCTCGTCCTGGCTCGTATCACGAGGCCAGGTGCGAGTCCAGGTTCCTCCCCAACGGCGACGTCGCTCCTCCGTCCATGGTGGCATTGAAGTGCGCCGAGCAGAAGCAACAGCAGCGCCTTTGCCAGCCGCCGCGCCTTTGCCGCCACCGCCGCCATGAGCCATGGAATCTCCGACAGGAGTCTTTGAAAGCTTTGGCCCGCAACGACAATTAGCCGTTACGAGTGTTTGTCGCTGCATACGCGCAGGGTCGCCACCTTGAGCCAAAATGGCTTGAGCCAAAATGGCTACGGAGGAGGAGGAGGAGGAGGAGGAGGAGGAGGAGGAGAGAGAGAGAGAGAGATCACATCGAATCGAGAGGTCGACGAGGGATGGCCCGCGATCGCAGCGCAGAGCCAAAGTCGGCGTTCGAGGGGCGCCGGGCGGGCAGGAGACGGCAGGCAGCCCTGCAGGGAGAGCAACAACAAGAAAAACGTCGGCGCCCGGGGGCCCGAGCTCAGCAGTGAAGGGGCCCTGGGACACACAAGCACATACACACACAAATAACAGGATTCCCCATATGTTCTTATACCTTCTGGGTGTTTGCCTTCCCCCCCACTTCCCACATATTTGCCCATGTTTTCCTGGGAGTGGGCGATTAAATTGTGTCTGTGTGTGTTTCCCCTCCTGAAGCAGGCCGGGCGCGGAGAGAGACCCGAGCCGAAGAGGCGGAGTTGGAAAATACGTCGAGGCGGAACCGACATCCTCCAGATCGAATCGCATCGACAACCTCCTCCTCCTCCTCGTCCTCATCCTCCTCGTCCTCCTCCTCCTCCTTCTCCTTCTCCTCCTCCTCCTCCTTCTCCTCCTTCTCCTCCTCCTCCTCCTCCTCCTCCTCCTCGGGTTATGTTGTTCCCATCCTACTCAAGGACCGCATCCCAGAAATAACTTCGAGCACCCAGAAAAGTGTCGAAAGAGTGTCGACATAGTGTCGAAACAGTGTCTCCCAGGGCCCTGCACGTGAAAACCCTCGAGTTGTTGGGTTCTTTTCTGGCGCTCGAAATTCTTTCTGGTCATCAAGGCAAAACAAAAGTTGGAACATCATAATCCTCGGGGTGACATGAGATCCCGGTTCGGGGGACTCGAGTCGGCCTGACGGGGCCGGCAAGAGAACGACGAGATCCGACCTCTGAAATTGGTCGCGACCTCCCGCCGCAGCCATCCCAACAGAACCTGGACCGTCCACATCCAGGACGGGCTCGTCGAAGAGCGTTGGCAAAGGCGAGATCCGGCCTACTCGAGCCTTGCGTTCGGTCGGGCATGTTCCCCTACAGGGGGATTTTGGACGCAAAATAAAAAATACCCCCAAAAATGCCCCAAACCTACTCTCGAACATGGTAGGAACATCGTCCCCAGACTAATTTGGTTGACTGCTTTGGAATCTTCCCCATGCAGAGGGCCAGGCCCGACTTACGCTTTCTTAACCGAACACCACGGATATTAACCCCGCAGGGGTAATAAAGTTCGGGGTCGCGAGGGGAGTATAAATGTTGCCTACCAGAGGCCAGCATGTGGGAGGAGAAAGAGATGATGTTAAGAGGACCGAAAGCCGAGGATCCGCTTGAGGCTGCCTCAAAAAATTGTTGATGTCGCTTGAGACATCCTCGACAACGTCTTCGCTTCGTTTGATGTTGCTATCTCAGCAAAAGAAGGAAGTTAGCCTCGATGGTGAACTTTTCGCAGGGGGAGGTCCTTTTTTATCATCGGCACAAGGTTAAGCCTTGCGTTTCCCCGAAAATTCGACAACGGTCCTGCGCCCCCCGCCGCGCCCCGCCGCGGCCTGGCTGCCGTGCTGGTGCGCGACGGCGGCGTGGCGGCAGCGGTGCTGCGCGGGCGATCGCTCGCCGCCGCCCGCGGGCTCGGAAGGCCGCGGTCGCGGGCCGTCGGCATCGCCGCCATCGCTCGCCGCCAGGGCTGAACCTCGCCATCGCTCGCACGTTCATTCCCTGTTTTTTCTCGGCTTCGTGCGAGGTTGTTTCGCCAAATGATCAAGGATGCTCCTCGATGGCCCCAGCCGAGAAAAAAATGCACACGTCCGAGCGATGCCAAGGAACCTAAACAGCGCTGTTCGTTTTTTCGTTATGTTCTCGTTTTCCCTCGTCTAGTCTTCGATTCGCCGTTACCGCAGAACGAGGTCGAAACGAAAACGGCCCACGGAATCGCCAAAAACACCGTGTAGGTCCAGCCCTGGTCGTCGCCCTCGTCGTGGTTGAAGGGGCCCAGGGACACACAAGCGAAGTAGACAAATCCCAGGTTCCCACATATCCTCAGTGTGATCTGTATTACTGTCGTGTTATGTTTATATTTTTTCCTGGAGGTCGAACTTTATTTGTGTCTATGTGGTTTCTGGCCCCCCTAATTTGTCGTGGTCGTCAACGCCGCCGCCGTGGTAATTGAAGGAACAAGAAGCGGCATAACCATGGATGCTCGGAGATCTGCGCGGACCTCCGAGAAACCGTATCTATGCCTTTTGTTATTCGAATACGGTGGAGGCCCGACCACAAGAGACCTTCCACAAGAAACCCCACCCTGAGACCCCAGGGCGTCCATTGATTTTTGGTGCGGGGGCGTCACGCCTTCCACAGCAAAACCATCGAAACAACCCAAGAAGTCCAGGGCACCCTGGAGGCAAGCAGTGTCTTCCTTGGCATGGGCCCCCCCTGTAGTGGCCGCCGCCGCCAGCGTCACACCACGCGCCGGTGGAGGGCCAGACAAGCCGGTGCCGCGCCAGGTCCCGGAGGCAAGGCGCATGTGGAATCGCAGGGGCATGCTCAGGGGGGGTGGCGAAGTCGGTCCGTCGTCCGAGTACCCAAGAGCGATATCGTGGTCACTGATGTGCGATGTGCGGGGGTCAGAGTGCCAGGAACGCCGCTGTCAACCAGCATCGAGCTCAACCCTGTGCCTGAACGTGGCATGCCTGAGGGCGATCAAAAACTTAGGCATGCGCCCTCAGGAACAAAGAGAATCCTCTCGATCGTCATTGATAGAAGGTGATGCCCATTGTGGGCATACGGATCTGTTTCAGTCTGGTAACAGAATGCTGGAGACGCCGTTGTCTCAGAAAAAAGGGGGCACCCTCACTGAAGGGGCCCCAGGACAAACAAATAAATACACACAAATAAAAAGGTTCCCCATACCTTCCTACATTTTCTGGATGTTCCCCCCACTTCTTATATTTTCCAATATTTGTCTGGGGGATCGACGATTCATTGTGTCTGTGTGTCTCTTCCCCTCCTGATGTGCTTCAGTCTGGTAACAGAATGCCAGAGGCGCCGTTGTCCCAGAGAAAGGGGGCACCCTCCCTCACCCGGGGCGACGGTCTGCCCCCCCCCCCGTCTCCACACCCGCCCCGTGCACAGGAGCCCCCTCGGCGGCGGGGGACCCGCCGGTGACGAGGAGCAAGAGGGCTTCCACCATTCACCTGGCTAGAAGACCACACCCTGGCACACCTTGGGGTGATGAGGTGGGAGAGGGGAGGGGTGCAGCGTGCGGGTTGCGACTCGCATCGCATCGGGTTCGTGATGTGTTTACATCGGTCGCTGTATGTCAGTCAATCTCCACGTCCATCGGTTTCACGATCTCCACCGAGCCCACGACCGACACACACCCGCATATATATATATATATATATATACATATATATATATATATGTATATATATATATATGCAGAGATACACACATACATATATACATGTATACATACGTGTGCACGTGCATCGTTCGCACGCCGTGTGTACATGCGTGTGTAATTATATATTAACTAGAACCACGCGCGCGCTTCGCGCGCGCTTAGGTTCTAGCTAGGATCGTCACCGTCGTCATCATGAACATCACCATCGCCATCATTCCCCCCGCCAGGGCTAATGTACATCGTTTCTGGTTGCTTCTGGCCAGAATACGAAAGGAGTTTCTGTAGTTGAGTCTCTGGGGGAAGTCGCGGGGCCCCTCAGGATACGTACGGATGCCTCTGATAATCCCCCAGCGTGCCCCACGAGATGGCCATAGGGTGCCCGAACAGAACCCGAGGACGTCGACGACGGCGGCGATGAAGACGGCGGCGATCGCGGCGACGAAGGTAGCGGCGGTTGCCATGGGTTAGTACCCAATCAGAGCTTGCCTCTGTAAGGGTCCTGGCGGATTAAAAGGTTCGATGAGGTTCGGCAAGATTCCGGCCCCATGCGGCCGGGCCGGGTGCCCGGGTGCCCGGGTGCCCGGGTGCCCGGTGCCTGGGTGCCTGGGTGCCCGGTGCCCGGGTGCCGGGGTGCCTGGGGGTGCCCTATCGCCCTATAGCCCTGTAGCCCTATTGCCCTATAGCCGTATAGCCCTGTAGGACTATAGCCCAATAGCCCTATATCCCTATATCCATCTGGCCCTTTAGCTCTATAGCCCTCTGATCCTATAGCCCTGTAGCCTTATAGCCCCATAGCTCTACAGCCCAACAACCCTATAGCCCAATAGCCGAATAGCCCACATAGCCCTATAGCCCTATGGCCCTAGCCCTATAGCCCTATAGCCCTACAGCCCTATAGCCCTGTAGCCCAATAGCCCTGTAGCCCAAGTCGTTTTCATCCTGAGTCGTTTTCTGACGGTCCCGGGAACCTGCGAGGGGCCCCGGAGGCCGAAAATTAACAAAAACCGCCGTCGTGATTTTTCCAAGACGTCGGAGGTCCAGGTCGTGCTTCCCGCCTCCCCAGACCTCCGACGTCGTAATTTTTGCGACCTCGGGCCCAGGAATCGATTGGGAAAACGCACATGGGAAGGCAAGAAATGATGGACCCATCATTTCGTACCTGTGCCTTGATCAGTGGGACGGGCTTCGCACCGCCGCACATCACAAGACACGCTCGAGCGGATCCAGCCGTGGCGACGTCGGGGACTGCAGAAGGTCGCAAGGACACAGAATGTGAAAGGAAGAGAGAGAAAGAGAGAAAGAGAGGGAGAGAGAGACAGACAGACAGAGAGCGAAGGAGAGAGAGAGAGAGAAAGAGAGATGGAGAGAGAGAGAGAGAGAGAGACAAAAACAAGACAGAGAGAGAGAGAGGCAGAGAGAGGAAATGGAGAGGAGGCGAGCTTGAGTCAACGAAAGTCGCAGGGAAGGGGGCAGGGGGAAGAAGGCCAGAGAGCGCTGAAGCATACAAATACTGGAACCCTCTTGGGATTTTTTGGGGGGCCTCGTCCGGCCGCTCGCTGGGAGTTTGACGTAGCTTCTCGGGAGCCTCTGAACCTGTCGGAGGCCTCCTGGAAGCAGGTTCGAAGCATTTTGGGGGCCGATTTGGGGCTTCTCGGGGCCTCCTTTGGGCCTCTTGGGGGTCTCCTGGGACCTCTTGAGGGGCCTCCTTGGGGCCTCCTGGCGGCCTCTTGGGGCGGAAGGCTCGAGCTTGCGGTTCGTGGTCCCCCTCTGGGCCCCCTCTTGGGCCCGTCTTGGGGCCCTCTTGGGCCATCTTGGGCGCCTCTTGGGCCGTCTTGGGGCCCTCTTGGGCTGTCCTGGGGCCCTCTTGGAAGCTTCTTGGGCCGTCTTGGGGCGGTCTTGGGCGCCTCTTGGGCCGTCCTGTAACGTCGGAAAGCCCAAAAGGCAACTTTGTGAAAAATGTACGTTTTACGAAGGGAATGGGCCAATTTTTGCGTCTAGGGGCCCTCTTTGGGGCGCATGTTGGAGGCTTCTTGGGGCGTCTTGGGGGCGTCCTTGGACGTCTGGAGGCCATCTTCAGCATCTCGGAGCCCTCTTGGAGGCCTCTTGGAAGTTTCTTGGGCCGTCTTGGGCGCTCCTGGGGCCGTCTTGTCTGACCGGGGAGGCCTCCGGCAAGCCCCGACGAGCCTCCAGGCCCCCCGGAGCCCACATTTGTGGTCGAAGTCCCGGCCCCGGGCCCCCGGACCCGGTGCGCCGTTATATGTATACATACAGATAGATACAAGACTGCAGTGGCGCTTCGCGCCATGCACCTTGGTCCTTGAAATTTGGTATGACGGCGAAATAGCAGGAAGGTCCAGCCGACAATTTAGCGATATTTCCGTGTTGCCTTTTCTGGCATCGCCGCTATAAGCATGTTTTTTCGTTATCCTTTCTCCATGCCTTTGTTTCCTTATTTTCGCCATACCCTGCGCACACTCCCCACCCTCCTCAGCTCTTTTTTTGCGGAGGCTCCTCCTTGGAGAGCCTCTGGGGGCCTCACAAAAGTTGTTTCAGGTTTTCCTGAGGCCTTATGGAGGCCTCCTGGACGTATTCTGGGGGCCTCCGGGGGCTTCCTCAGGCCACCCTGCCTCCAATCACGGTCTCCCTGAACGACCGGGTCACGATTCGGAATGCTTCGGAGGGTGTCTTTGGGCCATCTTGGGCCGCCATGGGGCTCTCTGAGGGCCATCTTGGACCCGTGTTGTGCCGTTTTGGGGCTCTCTTGGACTGCCTGGAAGCCCTTTCGGATGGTTGCGGGGCGATTTTGGAGCCCCCGAGGTGGCTTCGAACGCCCAGAAGACCGCCGTCTTGAAGCGTCGGGAAGCCGAATAGAGGAGAACCGCAGACTTCACCAGAAACCAACAGAAAATCAATGATTTTTGCCTCGGGGGGCCTTCTTGGGAGAACTCTTGGAGGCCTCTTTGGGGCCGTCCTGGAGGCCTCTTGGGCCATCTTGAGGTCACGTCGGTCACTCTTGGAGCGCTTTTGTGCTGTCTTGGGGGTCTCTGGGACGTCTCCGATGACCCCCCTGATCGCCCTAGGTGTGCCGGGAAGGCTTGGCAAAACGCCCTGCGAGGCCCAGGGGCCGCTTCGAGGCCCGTCTGGAGGTTCCCAAAGCCCCAAATCCCCGGAGCCCGGTTTTTTTGTTGGGGGGGTGACGGGTTTTCCCCACGCCCAAGCTTGTAAAAATATAGGAAGAGGAATCTGCGCACCACCCCCAACGCCAGTTAATTTTTAGCTGCCCACCGCACTCCCACTCCATTGTCTTGATGTGTTTCCTCTTACTCCTACTATTGCGTACGTTTTCTCCCTCAACCCCTTTCACTCTCCACCTCTCCTGCTGGACTCTTATTTTGACTACTATCATTATCACTCCCCCTCTGACTATTACTCCTCAGCGTCCACTCTCCTCCATCGATCCTCCAACCTCTTGGGGGCTCCACCTCCGACTTCTCGTCCCTCCTCCCCTTCCATTCCAAACCACTCTTTCTCCGCCTCCGTGGGAAACGAGGACCAGGAGGACAAGGATCAAACAGGAAAAACGACCACCTCTGGGAAGAGACGCGTGGCCTTGATCGGTGTATGAGCGGCTCGATGTAAGTCGACTCCGGGAGAACACCGGAAGTAGTCGATCTGCGTTTTCGCGCTGCTATTTCGCCCTCGATTCCACGTGACTGCGGCCTCGTCGGCGCACCCGAGCCCGAACGCCTGCGTGAAGGATGAGGCCGGCACACATGTCCCTTCTTATCGCACCTCCGCTGCTGGCGCCACACCTCGCCGCCCGTCAGTTCCTGGAACTGCGCGGGAGGCTGCAGACTCATGTCCGAACCGGATAAAGGGGCCCCAGGACACACAAATACATGCACACTGATAGAATGATTCCGAATATATCCCCATATTTTTAGAGGTTTCGTCGTCCCCACCCCCACTTCCAATATCTTCCCCATACGTTCTGGCACATCGAGGATCAATTGTGTCTGTGTGTTTTTCCCTCCTAACCGGAAGCTGTGTGAGGCTCGCTCGCTGGGCACACCGCGCTCCGGCCCTGGATCGCTGTCTCCGCCCGCCCTCCGACAAACAAACGATCCGGGATATGAGCAGCCGCTGCGCCGTGGATGCCGATACCGCGCCAATAGTCTCCAGAACGGTACAGTCGGGGCGTTGACCTAAGGAACCCTAAATAGGGAGCGAGGCCCATTTTTTCCATACGTTAAGCTTCGATTTCCGATCGGAAACATAAGGGGAACCTGAGGCAAGCTGCGAAACACGTAAGGAACGCGGAGCCCCCCCCCAACGAAAAGGGTTCCTTCTTCAGGGCCCCGACTGTATGATCAGCTGCGCCGTTGATGCCGATACCGCGCCAGTGGTCTCCACAACGGTACGTCCTGACATGGCAGCCAGCCGCACATGTCCAGCCCTTAGTGGGCCCTGGAAACGACAGGGCCGTGTTTTTACCGGTTCCGTTTTGCAGTTTTTTTGCCGGTTCCGACGCCGTTTTTTTACCGGTTCCGTCGCCGTTGTTTGACGGGTGCCTGTTCCGGTTCCAATCCTGGAGCAATTTTTTTGCCGTTTTCGGTCGCCGATGTTTTTGCCGTTTCCATTTTTAAGGGGCACTTTTTTTGAAACGGTGAAAAAACGGCCCTGCCGTTTCCGGGGCCCACAAAGGTCTAGCCACCACAGCGAGCTGCAGTCACTGCCCGCGCTGCCGACGACCACGAACCCCCAAAACCGCGGTGGCATGCAGCTCACCACAGCGAGGAGCCTCTTGCAGAAGGGCGGCGTCAGCATCGAGATGCTGTGGCGCCCTGCCGAATCGGCCCCCCGTCCCTGTCCCCCGTCGGCGGGCGCTCCATGTCAGACATGTGCTCCGCTGTGTTGGCGCATGTTGGGCCCATCGGCGCCGCCAGCCGAATACTGGGAGCTTCGCCCTGAACTCAGTCGCGGTGCTCCCCACCACACTCTGTCGTGAAAAGTCACTCCCCGTGCTCGTCGATGTACCCGGCTTCGGCGGCAAAATCATCGCCGTCCCCAGTGTAAGTCAAGATGACGAAGTCCGGCTGCCATGTGCACCGGATACGATAATCCTCCCCCATGGTATCCTCTCCCTCCCCCAGGATGTGCTGCAAGAAAGCCCGCGCGAGCCGAAATGTTGAGTAGCGCTTTTGGACCCATGGAGCCCACTCCACCTGTACCCATACCTCCCACCCACTGAAGAGAAACAAACGGACCCGTGGATTCAGCGGCCGATGATGCTGCCGTCGATGGTCCCCTAGCACGCGCTTTGGCTTTCGCCCCCAACGGACCCTGAGACTTAGCCAACATCAGGGCCTCGTCACACTTCACCTCCAGTTCCCCGAGCTTCGTTGAGTGCGTGTCCAACGTGCCCTGGAGGTTCGTCAAGGTCGTCTGCATCCGGGCTAGCGTCGCATCCAGGCGCTCGTCAATATGCTCGTTCATCTGCTTGCAGGCAGAACGCGTCCAGCGGCATGTTACCGATCTGGGCCATGGCTGAAGAGCGCAGCGGTCGGTCGGCAATCAAGCTCCCAGTCTCAAGGCGCGGGTTTGGAACTCGATCCTATCCTCCTTCTCCTCATCCTCCCTCTTCTTCTACTACATATTCACTGTTTCCCTCTTCCTGTCCTCCTCTCAACCCCTCCTCTCCCTGGAGCCTGCAAGAAATCCTGACAACCCACGCCACCCTGTCCTAAACACAACATTCCTCTTCACTCCAGCCCTCCCCCATTATGTTCCTCGCCCTCCGTTCCCATCCCGCCCCCTCCCTCAAGATCGCCCCCAGCCCTCCTGTGGAGCGCACTCTTGCGAGGCGGGGATTTGTCAATACCCAACGCGTGGTGAATCCAAATTCGGGGAGCTCGGCAGGCGATCTATATATATAGATATATATATATATATATATATATATATACATATATATATTATAGATACAAGACTGCAGTGGCGCTTCGCGCCATGCACCTTGGTCCTTGAAGTTTGTTATGCAGGCGGAGTAGCAGGAAGGTCAAGCCGACAATTTAGCGATAACTCCTGGTTGCCTTTCCTGGCATCGCCGCTATAATAATGTTATGCGTTATCCTTCCTCCATGCTTCGTTTTCCTTATTTCCGCCATGCCCTGCGCATTATCCCCATCCTCGTCAGCTTTTTTGCGGAGGCTCCTCCTTGGAGAGCCTCGAGGGGCCTCACACAAGTTGTTCCAAGCTTTCTTAAGGACTTCTGGAGACCTCCTGGGCGTATTCTGGGTGCCTCCGGGGGCTTCCTCGAGCCACCCTGCCTCCAACCGCGGTCTCCCTCAACGACCGAATCACGATTTGGAATTCTTCGGAGGGTGTCTTTGGGCCATCTTGGGCAGCCATGGGGCTCTCTGAGGGCCATCTTGGACCCGTGTTGTGCCGTTTTGGGGCTCTCTTGGACTGCCTGGAAGCTCTTTCGGATGGTTGTGGGACGATTTTGGAGCCTCCCAGGCGGCTTCGGACGCCCAGAAGACCGCCGTCTTGGAGCGTCGGGAAGCCGAAAAGAGGAAAACCCTAAAATTCATCAAAAACCCTCAGAAAATCAATGATTTGTGCCTCGGGGGGCCTTCTTGGGAGTGCTCTTGAAGGCCTCTTTGGGGCCGTCCTGGAGGCCTCTTGGGCCATCTTGAGGTCACGTCGGTCACTCTTGGAGCGCTCTTGTGCTGTCTTGGGGGTCTCTGGGACGTCTCCGATGACCCCCCTGATCGCCCTAGGTGTGCTGGGAAGGCTTGGCAAAACGCCATGTGAGGCCTGGTGGCCGCTTCGAGGCCCGTCTGGAGGGTCCTAAAGCCCCAGATCCCGGGAGTCCGTTTTTTGTGTGTGGGGGGGGGATGACGGGTTTTCCCCCCGCCCGGGCTTATAAAATTATAGAAGGAGGAATATGTGTGTGTTAAGGTTATAATTGGTACCCCAAAAGGCCCGAATATACACATTGACCCATATGTATATATATACATATAGATGTGTGTATGTGTATATATATATATATATACGTGCATGTCCACCGCCTGCCGAGGTCCTCGAGGATCCTTCCCCCAGGCGGTGGCTGTGGGTAGATCCCCGCCTTGGAGTTCTCGCCAGCACTCCGCGAAGGGCAAGGCTGTGGCGACGAGGACGGCAACGGCAACGGCGACGGCGACGGCGCCGGCGCCGGCGCCGGCGACGGCGCCGACGACGACGACGGCGACGACGGCGACGACGACGACGACGAAGACGACGGTGACGACGACGAAGACGACGACTGCGGCGAAGACGGCGGCGGCGGCGGTAACGTCGGCGGCGGCGGCGGCGAAGAGGGCGTGGGCGCCAAGGGCAGGGGGGGCGGCCTCGCCCTCGTCGGCGGCGTGGCGGCGACACTGGGCGGCGGCGGGGCCGGGGCCAGGGCCGCAACGAGGGAGCCTCCCAGACGGGATCCCGAGGACTCTGGTAAGGCGTCGGGTTGCACAGCCCCAAGTATGAAGGGGCCCTGGGACACACACAAATAAATACACACGAGTAACATGATTTCCATATTTTCCTATATTTTCTGGGTTTTTGTCTTCCCCCCACTTCCCATATTTTCCCATATTTTTTCTAGGGGATCGACGATTCATTGTGTCTGTGTGTCTCTTTTCCTCCTGGCGGTAGGTCCCGGCTGGCCTCGACAGGCCCCCCAAGGAGGCCCAGCTGGCCTCCCCCGAGTGGTCTGGGGCAGCCTGCACACCCTGGCGCCGAACGGTGTTTTCACACACCTCTATCGCAAAACGACCTGGAAACGACAACGGCCCATGACATCGCCGAATCACCGTTTAGGAGGAGGAGGAGGAGGAGGAGGAGGAGGAGGAGGAGGAGGAGGAGGGAGGTCCAGCCCTGGTGCTGAGACCGCCTGGGACTGCTCGGGGGGCCGTGGAGGCCAGCTGCCTCGGGAGGCCTGCCGAGGCCAGCTGGGGCCGCCCGCGGGGGGGGGGCTCCTCGTGCGCGGGCCGAAGCTTTACCGCGAGGACCGCGCCGCACCGCCGCGCCAGTGCAGCGCCGGCGCTCTTGACGACCTACCAGACCGCCCCGACCCAACCCGAAGACCGGAATCTCGAGTTGGGGGGGTGTGGGCTCCATATGTGTGTTTCCCATGTTGCCCGACACCCCCCCACTGGAGATGGAGGGCGAATTGAGGCCTTCGGGTTGGGTTGGGGTGGTTTGGCGGGTGGTGAGCTCTGGGCCAGAGGCATCGACGCAGTCGACGCAGTCGACGTGGAGAAGAGCGAGACCCACAGCGAGCCGCAGCGCCAATGCATCGGCGCAGTCGACGTGGAGAAGAGCGAGACCCACAGCGAGCCGCAACGCCAATGCATCGGCGATGCTTCGCGACCCCTCCGACAAAATCTAGCCGCACCCCACTTTTGAGCAGGGGCCGACCGTCCCAGCATTCCTATCGGCCTACCACGACATGTCTTAGAACCCAAGAATTTCTATAATAAAAAACACCAGATGTTCTTTGAACATGGACCGGACCCGATGTGTTCAACCAAAACGGTCTCAGTCAGAAAGGTTCTAAGACAATTTCATGCAGACCACAAACGGTTATCAGAGCATTGCTTGGTGGGCCTAGAGGCAAGCCAGGCCGCTTCGCCACTGCTCGACATTTGAGAATCCCGGAGCGACCCTGGAGGAGAGTCGGGTGGGGGCAGTCGGAGCAAAGAAGATGGGCACCACCATGGGGAGTGGAGGTCCGAGGCTCGAGGCGGCGGCGGAGATCGGCAGGTGCACGTGCCGCCTGTGTCAGCAAATCTCTCATGTCTATTGATGCAACGCGAAGCGAGCCTCCAAATCTTCTGTATAGGCTGCTGTTGGTAAAGACGGAACAGAGATTCAGCTGCACGGTGGTTGGCCATGGGGTGTGGGTCAGCTACGTCGGCGCCTGGAATGCTTCGAGTCAGCAGACTGGATCCGTGGGGCGGGCTCCGAACAGCACGATGCTCGAGGCTCGATGTTCGAGGCTGTGCTTCCCGATGTTCGGCCTTCGGAAATCCGTTTCTGGTCCCAGAACCCGTCGGAAATCAATCCGGGGATGGGAACTCCGGACCCCAGGCGGGGTCTGACATCGAGCTCATCCTTGTCCTAAGACTGGCAAGCCCAAGCAGATGCCACTTTTAGGGATGTGCCCGCAGAAGCGGGGAGGACCCTCGAGATCGGCACCGAAATGAGGTGATGCCACTCTGGGGGATATGTTTTGAGCTGGTAATGGGCAACCACTGTACGGACGTTGGTCTCGGGCACACGCTAACATTGATCAGGCATCCGTGGATCCACGGATCGGGGAATGTTCGGGTAGATTGGCCTGACGGGGACATCATGAAAATGACGAAACCCAATCGGAAACTTGGCGCGACCTCCCGCTGAAGACGTCCCAGGAACATCGGACCGCCAAACTCCAGGACGCGCTCGTCAAAAAGCGTCGCCAAACCGGAGCTCTGGCGTACTCGAGTCTTACGTTTCCCAGAAAGGTACGCACCGAGACATGAGGCCAGTGCCGCCCGGCGTGGAGACGGACGGCGCCGATCCTTTTTGCAGAGGCGGGGCCCGTCGCTGATCCACCCGCCGTGCGCAGCCCATGCCTGCGCCTCTTCCCCCGAGCGTTGGCACGGCGTCGACGAGGGAGGCGGGCCAAGACGACGCCAGGAGGAGAAGATTGGGCGAGGAGGAGTCGGGAATCTCCGAGATCCGGCGGCTCTGGAGGAGGCGTCGGGCGCCGCGGCCCTCTCGGCGCGCTCTGGAACGCTCTATGAGGGCGTTCTGGAACGCTCCGGGACGGACGTGTCCTCATCCTGGCGCCGCTCGACGGTGCCTCCCCCTGACGGAGCAGTCTGAAGGGGCCCTGGGGCACACACACACACAAAAAACAAAATACACACAAATAAAAGGATTCCCGACCTTTTCCAATACCTTCTGGGTCTCTCTGTCTTCCCCCCCACTGCCCATCTTTTCCCCGTATGTTCTGGGGAACCGGCGATTCATTGTGTCTGTGTGTCTGTTCTCCTCCTGGCAAACTCGGGTCGGGCGAAAGGGGGGGATAGCAAAGGGGGGGTTTGAGAATCAGCTCACGTAGCTGATTTTCCCGGCGCCTCCCGGCGCCGGAGGCGGCTATGTATCGAGGAATGGGCCCCTCGGCGAGGCCGAAACCAGCTGCATGCAGCAAATTTCGTAACCCCCCCTTTCCCAATCCCCCCCTTTCGCCCGACCCGAGATTCATTGTGTCTGTGTGTTTGCTCTCCTCCTGGCAAGCACCCGAGCGGGGGGAGGAGCGAGCGGGAGCGGCGGCGGCGGTGCCCGCCGCCGCGGGGGAGGCGGGGGCGCCGGCCTCCCGCTCCTGCGCTCCTGGTCGGCGATGGCCTTCCCGAGCGACGTGGGCTTCTTCGGCGTCGCCACGCCTCCCCGGGGGCGGCCAACGAGTTTCGGGAGACTCTTCATGGGGGGGGATCCCATGGGGGGATAGGATCCCAGGGGGGTGGATCCCTTAGGATCCCCTGGGGATCCCATGGGGGGGCAGGAGGGGATCCCATGCGGGGGATCCCCTCCTGCCCCCCCATGGGATCCCCCCCCATAGAGAGTCTCCCGAGAGTTGAGCAGGGGCCGACCGTCCCGGCATTCCTCTCGTCCTATCACGACGTGTGCTCAGAGCCCAGCAGTGTTGCGATAGCAAAAGCAATGTTCTCAGAACGTAGACCCGAGGGGCTAAGATAAGACAGCCGCAGCCAAAAATGATCAAAGAACAGTGCGTGGAAACCAACAAAGGTTTTTAGGACATCGTTTCGTAGGCCTATAGGCGTGCTAGGACGCTTCGCCACTGCTTGAAAGATGGGGGTGTCCAAGAGGGGGGGGGGGGGGGGGGCGCAAATCATGGCCAGCGGCACGTGCGCGGCCCAGGGGGGGGGGGGGCCGGGGACGCAACGAAATAAGAAGGGGCGCCATGAGATCTGGGGAGATACCATGGCCCCCGCCATGGTATCCACACCCCCCTAGCAGTCCTCACCCCCCTCTTGGCCTCGGGGATCTTCTGACCTGGGTCAATCCAAACCCGGGCCAATCAGGCCTTGCAAAATCATGCAAGATCCTGCACCCAAGCCCGGGTCAACGCCAAGGATCCTGCGAGATCCTGCACCCAAGCCCGGGTCAATGCGTCCCTGGCCCTGCAGGATCCTGCAAGATCGGGCGCTCTGGCTGACCCCCGTTTACATTGACCCCCGTCTCAAGGCTCTGGACTCGGGGCGTGCGGAGGGCATCGCAAAAGGCACGCTGCGGGAGCCGAGGCAGCCGGCGGAATCCAAGGCGTACACGGCGGCGGGGCCCAGGCCGACCAAGGCCGGCATGTCCTCCTCCTCCTCGTCCTCCGCACCCTCCTCCTCCTCCTGTTCCTCCTCCTCCTCCTCCTCCTTGCTCTCCTCCTCCTTGTTCTCCTCCTCCTCCTCCTCCTCCTTGTTCTCCTCCTCTCTGTCCTCCTCCGAGGGGCCCGATCCTCGAGGACCTCGAGCTTGCGGGGGGGGGGGGGGCGCGCAGGGAGAGAGGGATCGTTAGGAGGCAACTACTGGGATGATGATGATGATGATGAGGAGGAGGAGGGAGGAGGAGGAGGAGGAGGAGGAGGAGGGGGGAGGAGGAGGAGGAGGAGGAGGAGGAGGAGGAGGGAGGAGGAGAAGGAGGAGGAGGAGGCGGCGGAGGAGGATGAAGAGGGCGAGGGCCCGTTCAGCCTGCGCAGACGGGTCCGCAGCTCAAGCTTGAGGAGGAGGAGGAAGAGCAGGATTAGGAGGCAACTACTGGGAGGTTTTCGTCGGAAGGAGGAGGATTAAGCCACGTTGGGGGGTTGTTACGCCGGAGTTGGCCTCGGATCAACCGGGATCAAGCCGGATTGAACGGGATTGAGCCAGATTGACCGGGATTAAGCCGGACTTCGGACCAGGGCAAAATCAGGGTTTGACCTGCCAGGAGTTGCATCCAGAGGATCGGGATGGACACCTCAGGGAGCAGAGACTCAGGAGAGGTAGAAGTACCACTACCACCAGCTAGGCGTGTGGCCGCTCTCTCCCCTCAAGCTGGTGGCACGGCCTTCCGGGAACTCTCCGGAGGCATGCCCGGAACGAGGTGCCGCCAGCTCGAGAGGGTGGGACAGCCACCCAACAAGCTGGTGGTAGTTGTACTTTTGTCTCTGGCGAGAGACAGCAGCACAATCCAGCAGGGAGGGGCAGGAGGGTCCCCAGAGACCCAAGGAGGGACGCGGCGAAGTCCACGCTCCTCCTGCCAGCCTGCGCAAGCCCGCGCGCGGCACGGATTCCACGGCAACAGCCTGCTCCAGGACCGTCGCGAGACCGAGCTCGTGAGAGGGGGCGGAGGAAACGGGGAGCGAGCCGAGCAAGATGACGGGGAGGCGGAGGGGAGCCGCGAGCGCCTGGACCCCCCCCCCTCCTTGGCTCCTCCCCGCCCATAAATCGGAGAAGGGCCAATTGAGACATCGGCGGTTCTCCCGCCTCGTCCCCGACGCGCTCATACTCCCCCCCGGGGCCCTTCCCGGGCCCATCCTGGTCTGTCTCCCGCTGGGGGCCCCGCCGCGGCGAAACCGAGGAGGGGGGAGGGTGTGCGCGCGGGGGAAGAGGGCGAGAAGTGGAGCAGAGGGCGCCCCCCGCTCAAGAGAAGGTGCGGGGGAAAGGCGTGGAGGAGCGAGGAGAAGAGGAGGAAAGGACGAGGATGGGGAGGAGAAGGAGGAGCAGCAAGAAGTCACACGCTACAACGTTAGGACTGAGAACCGCTCCACGTCAAAAAGCAGGAGGAGGAGGAGGAGAAGCAGAAGGATGGGGAGGAGGAGGAGGAGGAGGAGAAAGGGAAGGAGGAGGAGGAGGAGGAGAAGGAGGAGAAGGAGGAGGAGGAGGAGGAGGAGGATGGCGGCGACAAGGGCCGAGCAGCAGGGGCGGCGGCGCGAGAACCCGCGTGTCCCATCTGCGCCTGCGTCGCTGCGGGGCTGGCGGGTCGACTGGCGGGGGCCTCCACTCGCTGCGCGCCCCGCTCTCTCCGTTGGAGGGCTGCGGGGTCTCGGCACCGAGGCGCGTGTCCTTGGATCGGCGGCGGGCGAGAAGGGAGAGGGGGAAGGGAGAAGGAGAAGCCCTTCTCAGACGGCGGCGGGGCTTCTCGGACACCCTCGCGCCTTCTGAGAAGTCCCCTGCGTCTTCGGGGGAAGCTCAGAAAACTTCCTCAGAAGGCCGGGGGACCTCCAAGCCTTCTGAGAAGGCCCGCCCCTTCTCACCTCCCCCCTTCGCTCGCCGCCGAGATGCATTATGTGTGTGTTTTTTTCTCCTCCTGGCATACCCCGCCCCGATTTGCGGCACAACTCGGACGGGGGTCGCTCCGACAGGGCCCCCTCGGGAGCGCGCCGTGAGCCCGGCTGCAGAATCCCTGCTGGGGGCGCTCGGAACCTCGCCGATCGCTCGGACGGGCGCCCACTCCCCGTGCATTTGTCGATCTCGCGCGTGTTTTTCTTGCCGGCTGATCCGTGATGGTGAACGTTCTCTTGCTCCGCGTTTCGGCATTGAGCGAAAGTGGTGGGGAAGGGAGGGGGGTCTGGCTGCGGACCTCTGCTTAATGCGACTGTTTGCAACAATGTCCTGTGGTGGAAACTCCAGCAGCTTGAAACAGGCGCCCAAAACAGCCAAGATCTACTGCATGTTGGGGGAGGGGGTGCCAGGGCCCGCGCCGATCGGCAAAACAATGTTTAAGAGAGCGGTCACATGCTCCTCGATGCCCCTGACGAGCCTGGGAACAGGAGCCACTGGGGCCCCTGGCGGCGAACCTTCACCAGTTACAGGGGAGGCATCCCCAATGGGGTCCAGTCCGAGTAGATGGGGTCGGAGGTCGCGCCGCATCGCCGATGCATCGGCGACGTCGGCTTTGCATCGGCGCCGTCGGCATGGAGGAAATCGGCCTCCACACCGAACCGCATCGCCGATGCGTCGGCGATGAGACGTGATCCTCGGACCCACAACACGGCACCCTTCAGGGAGGCTGGATACACGGCTGCCTCCATTCAACCTTGAGTGGTCACATGCTCCATGAGGTCGAGAAAGGGCGGTTAGCGCCACGGCCGTCAGAGTCTGGCCCGATCGGGGTAGGTGGCTTGACCCCTCCCGAGAAAGCACATCGGGATCCCCAGGGAGCACCGGGCCCCCTGCAGCCTGGCGGCCGCGGTATGCAATCGCCAATCGTCGAGGAAGCGAGGCGGGGCACTCAGGGAGCACCGGAACCCTTGAGGCCTGGCGGCCGCGGCACGCATGGTGTGCAAGGCAGGTCGGGCACTCATTTTGCCCTGAACCTGACAATCCCCGCCTGTCGAATGGTGAAGCATAGCGTCACCTTGTCGCCAAGTCTATCACCTCGTGGAATCTGGCCCAGGGGGCTGCCCCAGCCACCAGGCCTTCCGTCGCCGTCGTCATCGTCGGTGTCGTCGTCGGCGTCATCGTCGTTGTCGTCGTCGTTGTCGCTGTCGTCGTCGTCATCGTCCTTGTGGTAGCCGTTGTCATCTTTGTCCGTGTCGTCCTCGTCGTCTCGTCGTCGTCGTCGTTGCCGCCGTCGCCGTGTTCGCTCCGTCGTCGTCGTCGTACACGGGCGCGCCTCGCGGCTCGTCCGCGCCCTTCTGCTGCTGCGGCGAGCCGCGGGGCCTGAAGGACACGGCGGTGTTGGGGACGTCGAACCTCCGGCGGGGCGCCACGGCCACCGACGCCGCGGCCGAGGGAACAGTAAGTATCTGGGGGGGCAACCACTGGGAGGCCTTCGTCGGAAGGAATCAAGGACAACTGAGCCCCAGCAGGGGCTTGCTACGCCAGTGGGGGAGGGCCCAGGCGCGGATCCTAGAAATCTGCGCGAAGCGCCAAAACTTTCTGTGTATGTGAATTCTTCTTCTTAGAGAATACGGGGCAAACAAACCTGCCTCGCTTTTGACCACCCTCGCCACCAAGAGAAACCAAGCGATGCAAAACTGCGGCCTGCGCAGGTCAGGCCGCTTGACGAGGAGGCGCGTGGTACGCCTTGGCTCTGCCTGGCAGCGAAAGCGGGGCAGGTTGATTCACGCTCCGAGAGAGAAAGCGAAGCGCGCGCGGGAGGGGGAGGGGCAGGGTGGGGGGGCGCAGCTGCTTCCCAGTGCGCTGCGCCCGGATGCTCTGGTACAGCGACGGCATGGCGCGGAGAAGGCGGCCCTCGGGGCGGGCGGCGTGGCAGGGGCCCAGTCCCCCCCTGCCAAGGGGGAGGGGGCCTCCCCCGGCCCTCGGGGAAGAGGAGGAGGAGGAGGAGGAGGAGGAGGAGGAGGAGGAGGAGGAGGAGGAGGGTTTTTGTTCGACCTCCACGGGCCCACCGCATAGTGCAGGAGGAGGAGGAGGGCGAGGAGGATGAGGAAGAGGAGGCGGAGGAGGAGGAGGGGCGGAGGAGGAGGACGAGGAGTAGGCAGAGGAGGAGGACGAAGCGTGCCAGGCCAGCTTCCCGTCGAGGAGGCTCTTGAGGCAGGTCCAGATCATTGGGTCTGCTGGCCCCCCCGACGCCGTGGTGTGATTTGTCGTGGCGTGGGCCGTCCAGGAGGTCCGAGAGAGCGCGATTCACGGGCGCTTGCTTGGCCGAAGTGCCGACCCCGCCCCTCCCCGGGTGCGAACCTGGAGGGGGGGCCCCCCCTCCTCGCAACGGCGGGGGTGTAAATTCCTTCCCCCCCCGGGCTCAGGAGACGACGACGACGCACGAGGCCGACGAGGATGACGACGGACGACGACAACGACGCCGTCGACGACGAGGACACGCCGACGACGACGACGACGACGACGCTGACGTTGACGCCGACACCGACGCCGACGCCGATTCCGTCGACGACGACGCCGAGCATGACGCTGGCGCCGGCGCCGGCGCCGAGAACGACGACGACGACGACGACGACGACGACACCGAGCACGACGGCGAGCACGGCGCCGAGCACGACGCCGACAATGACGACGCCGAGCAAGACGCCGACAACGACGTGGACGACGACGACACCGATGCCGGCGCCGCCGACGACGACGACGACGCCGACGCCGACAAAGAGCACGACGCCGAGCACGACGCCGACTCCGCCGACCACGACGTCGACGCCGACAATGACGCCGACCACGACGCCGACGCCGACGCACGACGCAGACGCCGACACTGGCGACGACGACGCCGACGCCGAGCACAACGTCGAGCACGACGCCGAGCATGACACCAACCACGCCGACGCCGACAACGATGCCGACGCCGGCGCCGAGGCTCACGCGAACGCCGACGCCGATGACGACGACGCCGAGCACGACGCCGAGCACGACGCCGAGCACGACGCCGAGCACGACGCCGCCGACGCCGACCACGCCGAGCACGACGCCGAGCACGACGTCGACAACGACGCCGACGCCGACGCCAGCGCCGACGCCGACGCTAACGTCGACGACGACAACGACGACGACGACGACCACCACCACCACCACCACCACCACCACGACGCCAGCGCCGACGCCGACGACGACGGCGGCGACAGCGCCGCCGAGCACGACGCCGACGCCGATGCCGACGCAAACGCCCACGCCGACGACGAGCACGACGCCGTCGTCGGCCACCCCCCACGAATTCGAACCCGGCGGGGGGACAGTTCCCCCCCTCCCTGAGTATCGTTTAACCGATCCCCATGCCCAGCGGGGCGTGGCCTGGGCCCTACTGGCCGATCTACCCCCATAGATGGGGATATAGGCCGTTTCCTTCGGGTTTCGAGGGGTGTATCCCCGACTGTGGTGGTAATTTGGTGGAGGTCTCGAAGGGGATGGGGATATGGATGGGGATCGGATAAAGGATACTGACTCCCTCCCCCTTCCCTAGGCCCAGTACAAGCCCCCCGAGGCAGAACACAGCGAAACCCTTCCGTCGCGATGAGCGATGATTCCACGACGCGAGGGGATCTGGGGGAGAGGCGGAGGGAGACGAGGAGGAGACGAGGGGACACCTTGGCGCCGATCTAGCTGCCTCCCTGCGGGCTCCGCAAGACCGTGCAAGGCCGGGTCGAGCGTAACGGAGGGTGGGACAGCAAAGGGTGGCACAGCAGAAGGGGGGGGGTCCTTCTTTCGCTCCAGGGGAAGGATGTCCGCGAGGGAGCCTTCTTTCGCCCCTGGAGGGTGACACAGCAAGGGGGAGGTCCTTCTTTCGCTCCCGAAGGAGGATGTCAGGAGAAGGAGGAGGAGGAGGAGGAGGAGGAGGGGGAGGGGGGAGTGAGGAGGAAGAAGGAGGAGGAGGAGGAGAGGAGGAGGAGGAGGGAGGGAGGGGGGAGGAGGAGGAGGGGGAGGAGGAGGGGGAGGAGGAGGGAGGAGGAGGAGGAGGAGGAGGAGGAGGGAGAGGAGGAGGACGGGGACGGGGATGGGGATGATGAGGAGGACGAGGATGAGGAGGAGGAGGAGGAGGAGGAGGCCGCGAGGGGCCAGACACCCCCTTCACCAGCGAGAGCGCCGCGGCCCCGAGTCTGGATGGGCGCGGGGCACGCCGCCCGGCGCACCTGCCGCGGGCATGCGCTGTGGAGCCCGAGGGGGCGCTCGGACACCCTCTGGGCGCTGCTGCACGATGGGGGGGGGATGAGCACGCGCCTCTCGTGCCCCTTTTGGGCCCCAGGGGGGCCCCTGTTGGCAAGGCGGAGCCAGGGCGAGGATAGATTCGGGTGAAGGGAGAGCGAGGATCTCTGAGCTCTGGCGTCTCAGGAGGATGTCTCGGGCGCCGCGGCCTTCTCGGAGCGTCCCCGATCGCTCTGAGAGCGCCCCGGAACGCTCTGGAACGGACCTATTATTGTCCTAGCCCCGTCCGACATGCACCTGTCGTGCCCCTCTTGTTCCCCAGGGGGCCCCTTCAGGGCCCCTTCAGGGCACAAATCGGGGATGGGACAGACCCCCCTTCAGTAGAACGTGGTTAAGTGAAAACGACCTGAGGCCCAAACCTGGCGGGCGCAAGCCTGGAACATAACGGCCACGGCGCCCACTCGAGAACCGAGAACGGACAATTCACTAATCGACGTGTCGCTGTTGGGGTCCTGTCCGCCCCTGAACAAACAATACGCACCCTGCTGAACCCCACGCGAACCGCCCCCCCGAGACGCAGCGCCCGAACCCTGGATCCATACGTATGTCGGGCGTGTCCCCCTACAGGGGGATTTTCGACGATACATAAAAAATACATCAAAAATACCCTAAGAAGGTCAAACATACCCCAAAAAGGTCAGAAAATGTTCACACAATAGTCCCCAGACTATGTTTGGATTATTTTTGGACTATATCGGGGGTATATTGGGGGTATCTTTAATCTTTCGTCGAGAATCTCCCTGTAGGGGGGCAAGCACGACTTCGATCCATACCGTGCCCCGACCGGCTGGCTCGTCGGCTACTCGGTCGCACACGTGAGGAGCAGCGGTGCACGGCACCGCGCTCGACGCCCCCTCGGCGAGAGCGACGACGAGACGCAGGTTGACGACGACGGCGCGGACACCGGCGGCGGGGGAGACGAGAACGACGACGGCGCGGCCAGCATCTGCTCCAAGGCTGTGGCCGGAGCCCTACCAGGGCCCATCCTGGCCGCTGCTTCGCCCCGAGCCGACGTTGTGGACGCCCGAAATGGCTCCGCCTCCTCCTCCTCCTCCTCCTCCTCCTCCTCCTCCTCCAACTACTTGCCCTCCCTGTCCTCCATCTCCTCCTGCTTTCTCTTCCTCCTCCACTTTCTCCCCCCAGAGATCTCACGACGGCTGGGGGGTACGGAAAAAACTGGGCACAATGCCCAACAACGAATGTTTTCCCAAACCAGCAGCGGCCGATGTTGGGTAGGCCGTCCTCTGTCTCAAGTGGACACAGGCCGCGGAAGCGCGGACAGCAAGTCCTGCTCAGAAGGAGCGGGAACTGCTGCTGGGCACTGTACCCATTCCTTCCGTACCCCATTTCGTTCGCGCCGAGACGCCCGTAGCCATTTTTGGATCAAGGCGGCGGGCTCTGCCCGCAGCTGGGTCCGCGGCACACCTGTAAGGCATCTCCCAGGTTCGCAGCGCCATGGATGCTTTCCACGCCAGCAGGGCGCTGCGGGTATACCGGCACCTGGACGAGGTGCTCGAGCATCTCGAGGGCGAGCTGGGCCAGGCGTTCGAGGGTCTCGCAGTGGCTGCGCGCGCGGCCAAAGAACGGGGCCTCATCACGGCCAGGATCGCCAAGGTGGCGGAAAGGGTCGACATCTGCTACAACGCGCTGCGGCACCTCACCGAGCAGAAGATGCTCCAGTACCTCTCGGCGTTCGGCGTCCCCGAGGCGCATGAGGCCAGGTCGGATGTGCGTGCAGCTGTTCATGTTGCCGAACCCCTGGGTGTCGCTGGACATGGTCGACGCGCCGTTCCAGCCGCTGGGGGAACAGTTTCGAGAAGGTCGAGAACTACACACCCATTGCGGACACTGCCTGCGTGCTCAAGACCTCGGAGTATGACGGGTCCGCCACTACGGAGCTCTTCACGAAGGCGCAGGCCCTCAACGAGCTCACGGCGCCCACGTGCAGGGTGCTGGGCGACACTGTCAAGAAGGTAGCGAACTCCTCCGGCACGGCGGGCAATCCCTGCGTGCTCACTGCAACAGAGCACGGCTGGTCCGACACCATGCGGGGCGACGAGCTCGAGAAGGCCGACAAACTCCACATCCATGGCGGACGTTCTCTGCGTGCTCAAGACCTCGGAGCACGACTGGTCCGCCACCACGGAGCGCAAGACGAAGGCGCATGCCCTCCACGAGATCACCTCCGAGCTGCAGAGGAACCACTCTGCGGAAGTCTTGGGTCAGGCTGCGACCCCTGCCAACGAGCCGCCCGCCAGCGGCATGGGCGCGGGCAAGAATCAAGACCAGGGCAAGCACGGCGGCAAGTCGAGGGGCAAGCTCTCCTTCGTCGCCCGAGTTTGCCCTCGGCCATAGCAGCCTGCGAGTGGCCTGGAGCCAGACGGGAAGCACCCCATAGCCAGCTCTCGCATGTCCTCCGCGCCTCAGGGGTACAACACTACTGAAGTGCAGCAGGCACAGCGCCTGCAGAGGGAGCGCGTGGCCGCCCGTGTGTGTCCGTCGTCTCGGCAGGACTCTGGCTCGGGCCTCGGGGCCCGCGCCGACCTGCGGCGGCCCTCTTTTCACAAGTG